TCACATTTGAATAAAAGATAATCATCTGTCTGTAACAAAAATGTGCTGATAAGAGAAAGTAAATGTTCATGAGCAACGTAAATACTGGTAGGTTCCGAATTATCTTATTCACTCCTACGGACTGCTAATTCTCTAGAAATGTTTCTGAAGATTATCCTTTCTCTTCACGGTCTTGAACAGTCATTTACTTCTCCTTATTCGGTAATTTGCGGGCTTGACTTCTCTTTATAACTATCCAAACAAATGAACATCCCATATTGAGGTAGAAGTGACCTGAAAACCTACTTAATAAATGTGAAAGTCACCACAGTTAGTGGTGCTCCAAGTCACTGGAACTTGCAGTAAACCTGATCTGAGATAATTATATCTTCTGAGTACTCTTAATTGAAAAGTCAGTCGAAAGATACTGAAGATACTGAAGAGATAAATTGTATCACTTCCTTGAGTACTTTCATCAGTACTCTTCTACAAAATAGGTGGTTGGCACATCGCCTGCGGACATCGGCTGTTGATTTTATTGAAAATACGAATTCGAACTGACACTTCACCAAGGAAACATGATTTAACGCATTATACTTAGTAAAGCAATAAACTATGCCAAGATTTCCTAAAAGATGGAGTTAATTACTATCATAATCTTCTCAACCAACCTAACTGGAGATATTCAAAGATCAACTAAAGCAGCTTCTGAACATACTTTGCCTGGATTTTCCGCTTTTCAGATATTTGCATTTCCGCAAAACAACAAGATGTAGCTTGTCTGAAAAATGTGAATTATTAGAGTAATACAGAGGCCAAACAATTCTACCCTATATATCAACGGGAAATTACAAGTATCGATAAAACAATAAGTGATGGCTGTCGTGCCTCAGTAAATAACGCTTCGGAGTTTGAAGCGACGGGTACTGGGTTCGGGTCTCAGTGAGTACAACATCACTCAGTGGGTTGCATGTACATCCAGCTGACGAGTTTGAAATAGGACGAAACGCGCAACCTGTATTCCACTGCTAGCCATCAAATAGACTACAATAAAGGGTATTACATTTTGAACAATCTAGTCAAACACTCATTTCTCATGAAATAATGGAAAAACATTGTTACTCAGAATGACGATCGTAATCAATCAGTTTTCTTTGAGCTTTGGTATTTTTTCGTAGACGTTCAGTCAACAGGCGTCTTAGCATTCTCAACACCAACTGAGGACGTTACCAAACCCAATGATGCAATGCCCAGGAAAAGGAGATTCCAAAGCTCAGAGAACACCAAACCACCATCCCATTCATGTCATGTATATTTATGTTACAAAACAAAAGGTGAATGGATTCATGGGATTATCGAAAAAAAATGGGTAAAATTGTTAGTTTATAGCGACCAAATCACTACCAAAAAGACACACAGTTTATAGTAATCTCCCTTGATGTTAATGAACTAGTTTCAGAGTAACAATTTGTTTCCAAATATAAAAAATAAGTCTAAACTTCCAGATAGCTGCAGATGCAACAAACCTAACTGTATGTACACATTAGGTTTTGTAAATTGGTTTCAAAGACGCACACAAATAAGCTGTGTGACCCTTTTCAACGACATGTTTATCCGTAGACGAAGTTGGATGTCAATAGCTCGTATCAGTGGGATTATTCGTTTTCATTTGTTGCTGCGGCCATTTTGGAATGTCCTCCGTCGCTCTTACTTGCATAGACTGACGGATGCTAGCTATGTATGTATATGCGACCACACTCACATGTAAACTGTCAAATCCAATTGAATTTGATCCCACTGTTTAAATGTTGAGGGGGGTTTACAAAGGTAAAGAGATGTCATTTTCTCAGTAATGTTGACTTTTGCGGTATATTTTGTTCATTGAATGACTGCCTTAAGTATTTGTTTGGCGGTCAGACTTATTAAATCATACATATTTAGCAATGGGATGTAAACATTTTTCACTAAAACTAACTGGACAATGTCTGTCAAGCACTCAGCATTTCTGTTATGACCAAAGATTTTCAGGGAACACTTATTGTCGCGTGATATTTGGATCACGTCTCACTTTTTATTTTTGAAAGTACCATCAATGCATATTCTTTGTAATTGATTGAAAAGACATTTTACTAGTGGTTGTATATACTGAACTGGATAGAAACTGATCACTTAGTTCTTGATCTTTCTGTGTAGCGTTCCTATAAGTGGGTCATTTTAGTGACTCGTGCCGGAGAGTCGTGAGAATGTCTAGGAATGATAGAGAGTCATCTCTTTCTTTCCCACATTTTAAGGATGTACTGCTGTGTTTCATTCGTGCGACTAAGAACCGAAATACCACATTGCGTCTTACACATATAATTATGTCATCTGTTTATAGAACGGAACTTTTACAGTCAAATCACCAGACAGTAAGGTCTTCTCGTGGCTTTATTATTAATCTGGTGTAAATATTTAAGCTTAAACGTAAACTTGATACTACTGGGTATATAAAACTTCTTTTCGTTTTTCAGAATGCACGACATATTCCTTTTGTACTCACTTTTATGCATAGCAACAATACATAAGCTTCTATTTTATCTCAAAACAATCATATATGTTATGCTTCACTTTCTTTACGTTTGAGAATTTTTAAAACATGATTCTATTTCAGAGGACCTCAGCAGAACTTAATAGCACTATTCACTCAGTTGGATTTAAATAAGCCACAATCTTCAACACCAATAGGTACAAGAGATTTTAGTTGAATTTGCACTCGTCAAAGCTTTCTCAGCTTCTGTAAGAGTTGAATTTCTAAGGTTAGCATCGCATTGACATTGTCAGCGATTTAAAATTCTCTTCAAATAGTTTTACCGATTATCTCAGCTGCCTCTATATAGAGTTTACTTATTATTTATTCACAGAGACAATTTTGTAAACTATAGTTTAAAATTCTTTTGAGAAACTTAATCATGTATTCATTTACATTTAAATTTGCTTTCATTCTCTAATCAGCGTTCATCTTCACTGTCAGCTCTGTTGTTAAGTCGTTACATATTCGCCATCAGAGTTGACGGTCTTGGACTTGATTCCTCTTACAGCTGTTTTCACACTGCAGTAGGCTACTGAATTCTGACAAAACAGTTGCCCAGTAATCCTACATTTTTTCAACCGAGTATGACTCACTTACAGCCATACATTCAAATCCTCTAGTGAGGAAGTCCTGCTTACTGGACAGTGTGAAATGCCTGCACTTACTATCAAACAGGAGGTATGGTATCCACCTTCGAAAGTTGGAAGCTTCTGATTACAAAACAGTCGAAAAATTAGACAGCATCATCCAGAATGCATGAATGGCTCAGTAGCCTGACTCGGTGATCGGTGGCCATAAGAAGACAGCACGTGACATCGCTGTGATATCTTATGACAAAGAAGAAATCGAAGCGCTGAAAAAATTTCCCATTGCAAACTAAGTTCACTATGTAACGAACTTACTACTCGGTCATTCAATTAAATACCTTTAAATCATAGTTACTTTTGTGTAATAAATCCGGCATTGTTTGCATTTATTTTTAAATCTTGTTTATAAATGTCTCCTTGGTTGTACAGTTTCCACTTGTTAAACCAGTGGTTCTACAAATTCATCCTTCTGTGTGATATCTAACCCAATTATACTGAAACCATGAGCCCTGCTTAGCTTAGACTGACTGTTTAAGAGTTCAATTTCATGAATTGTCTGAAGATAAGATCCATAACCACATCTATCAATCAATAAAGATTGATTTGCATTATTATACGAGTTACGCAACATAAAACACTAATTGGTTCTGCTAGAGCAAAAACAATAAATATCAAGTCACTTATGTAAAAATAAGATATATTATTTTGTTCAATGAAAGAAAAACAAACAAACAAATGCTTAGTTGAACAAATATACACTAGGCTTTGCAGAAAATGACATACTCGCATATACACATTTTCCTAGCGTCTGCGAGAAAAAATGAGGTCAAACGGATCTTAGAATAATTGAAACAGCTGAAGACGAAACGGGTGAGAAAATGCATTGAACAACGAGGATTATTTTAAACGAATCTGCTCAAAAGCCGAGAGTAGAGAAAGAAAGAGAGTAAGAATAAGGGAGACATAAAAAGAAACTACGCTGTGAAAGCATTCATATAACCCTAACCAAGACGATTCACTAAGATCAAAAAGGATTTGTGCTTAGTTTATCACTCCTCGATTCTGTTGAAAGAAATTAGTGTAAAAATCCAGATTGAACTAATTAAATGTACAAAATTCCAAATGATAAATCCCACAAAATGTACCAGAGGTTATGCATAAAAGAATGTGAAAAGTGTAAAAAAAAAAAAAAGAAGGAGAATACGGGCTTTATGGTAATTTACTATAGGCATAGTTTCAAATTTTCAACATAAATTACAATGAGATCGTGTATTTTACCCAAATCAATGTTGTTTTATTTAACTACTAAATATACTCATTCTTCCTAGAGCAATAAAATTGGCTAAAACTGTTGTGGGTAATAGCGAAAAGAAACTATTTCTGTTTTTTTTTTAGAAATTACAGAACGTTTACGAAACATCGAAAAAGAAGTGGTAACCTTTGCCTAATAATGCTTTGTGTATATATACACAGATACTGATATAATGTTTGAACTAAATAAACGTGTGATTGACAGTAATGGCGCTTGAATGTAAAAATAATTAAGTAATATATCATAATAAGAGAAGAGTAAGAAATAGTAAACAAAGGCCAGCGCACACATGAGCGTGGTTACAAGATATAAAAAAAAAAGGTAAAGGAAGCTACTTTTTACCACTTTCTTAGAAGTAAAATGAAATATAAAAATGGAACAAAAGAAATCTGTACAAAATGCATACAGGTTAAAATTATAAAAATGATAAAAGACAAATAAAAAATACGACATAATTGTCAAAATTATTACATTATTATAGACAGATATGTTTCTTGCAAATATGTATGCATATATGCAATTAGCATAATTTACAGGTGAGTAGTATTGATACTTATTGAATCTGAACATTGTGTTGTTTCTTCTTCTGACTATTTGAATGCGTAGTTAATGGTGAACTGTGACTAGTACTTTGCTGACGGTGAATATAACTGATGTTATAACCATAACTAGTGTTACTTTTGTTTATACACTCTGTAGTACACTGAGTATTTGAGAAATCAGGAGAACCTTGCTTATAATGATGATAAATTTGACGCATATTTACATTCGAATTCGCAGTTGATGAAGACGAACCGGTAAGAGGTAATTGTGAAAGTTTAGAGACTGAATTTGAATCGATTGGTGCACTCTGTTTTATGTGAGTTGAATAAGAGGAAAGTTCGGTCGGTACAGTCTTCTTTTTCACCTGATGATCATCAGGTTCACAGGTTTTGGATGATAATGATGAGGTAGCATAAGAATTGGACCGACGAATATTACCTGGAATAGGTGACTGAGAATTATATTTATGTATGCTGTGACTACTCCCATGTGATTTCAGTGAGGTCTTTTTGTCTGGTAGGTGGGTTTGTGTATCGGATAATGTACACAACTTTTGCCGATATGATTTAGGCAGTACATACTTTGAACATTTGTCAGAGTCATTAGAATATGGTTGACTAATCACACTAGAATAAGGTGGTGGTGGAGTATTCTCAGCTTGACCGTCGCAAGATAATTCTCCAACTTTTTTATATGCGGCCTTACAATTAGTTGCTGTTACAGCAGCTAATAATGAACACGCTACATCTGGGTTTAAAACAAACTCTTTGCTTTTGCTGCCTCGATTACTTCTTGCTGATGTATGACTGTTAGAAGAAACGGGAGATATAATAGAACTATATAAACTTTCGCAAATTTCATTAGCTGATATATTTGGATTCAAAAGTTTACTCATTGTGATAAAATCAACCGAAGATACAAGACTTAGTGGCAAATTGTGAAGAGTCAAATCATGTTTGACTGAATGATGAACACATTTAGATGGTGAAGTAGGGTTTGATGGGATATTTGCATTTTCTGTAGTTGGTAAAAAGCCAGTATTACTACTACTGCTGCTATTACTTGCAGATACCTGTCCAGTATTAGATGGAGTAGTGTGATTCAAACTCACAGTTGAGTTGGAATGAGAAGGTTCTTCTGAAATAGTGCTTAAACTAGGTGGTCTAGATCGAACAGACGCTGCTGCTGCTGCCGCGACAACCACTGCAGCCGCTGCTGCGGTGGCAGCTGCATCTGATGAACACTGTTCAGATGTAGAATTCATCCACATTGAATGATGACTTGGATATTTCAGGCTATGATGTACGATATCCTTATTTGACTCTCTCAAACCTGAATAGGTACATTCTTTATAGGATGATTCTGTTTTACAGTACGGTTTTGTATTCTGATTAATTTCATCAGTAGGATTGAATTCTGACTGACTATATGAACTGGATGAGCGAGATGAACTAGGTGAAGACGAATTTGGCGACATATTAGAAGATGATGAACTTGAAAAAGAAGACTGAGAATCATTTATTACATTGATTTGCTGATGTTCTTGATTGCCATTTACTCTAGAGGAAGTAGCAGCAGACTTGAGATATTGGTGAATATGTTTATCCTCAGTCAAGTGACTATCTGATTTCAATGAAGATTTGTATGGAGTAGAATTGTTTGATATACTACGTCGTCCACCAACTATGAACTGATTTTAAAGTAGAGTTACAAAAAACAAACATTCATTAATAATACACAATAATAATTTGATATCGTATAGTTCGTTAATTATTCTTAGGCAGACAATTAACATGTGAAGAAAAAGTGGAGTAACCCATGCAGTTGTCACCTGGATAACCAAGTGTTAGTGTTATCAGTGACCATGAGTGTAGAGTATTGCATAATTATGAGATTCATATCAATTCGTAAACAGACGACTTGGTGAAATGAAATGGGAAAAAAAAACAAGTATGAATCGTATTTTAGGGAAAAAGATAGCTGGAACTCGAATATTAACAAGATGTTTTGGAATAAATCGCATGCACTTTATAACAAACTATTATTAAACAGAGGTATGAATTAATATTTCTGACTGACATGTTCATAGAAAATAACCCCTTTTGAAAAAAAATAGTTAATGAAGTTTTATTTCACCTAGTTCACTTATATATGAAGCCTATAGTAAAATATAATCCAAAGATCAAGCTGACAGCATAAGATATTTTGTTGATACACTTCACCATGAAATGTATAAAAGTTGTTTTCATAGAGATATACTTAACAAATACAAACTTGATCACCTTTCTAACTGTAAAACATTATAATTCACTCAACTGAGCTGACGTCATTGTACATAAATTAAAGATCAGTTGACATAGTAATCTACATCAAAAGTGAACAACACAGACTGACTGACTGACTGACAAAATCAGCGTAGAACACTGCACACAACTGGATCGGCTCAAGTTGCCATGATTCACAGTAGTATACAAAGAACAGGAGGATAGAATAAGAGTGATAGCAAAGTAGACAAAGTTGTGTGAGAGAATAAACAGTTTGAGGATAATGGTTAGTATGAATATTAAAGCTGGACCTCGCTGTTACCAAGTTTCAACCAATTGCCGGAAAACTATGGATCCTAGGATCTTGGACACAAAATTAGTCAAACTAATTCCTCGATAGTTGTCACAGGAAGACTTCTCTCCCTTCTTATATACTGGAATGATCAGAGAAATAGACCAGTTTGACGGAACTACCTCTGATACCCATACGCTATGCAGTACTTCTGTCAATCCAATCAGCAACTTCCTACCTACATCCTCGGATGCAAAACTGTCAGGCACTGCTGCTTTGCATCGTTTCAGGTTCGATAAAATACACCTGAGTATTTTTGCAAACCAACATTAACATTAAAAAATAATAACACTTTTGTAAGTATCATCTTTCCAGACAGACAAAATACAACCAAAGTAAGCTTTCTTTCCCTTTTGACAACATAAAGTGTTACCGCAAGGTAAAATAAAATCCCTCCTTTGATCATTCTTTATATGAAAGTGAAATTAGAACACACAAACTGACTGAACCAGTGATGACTTGCATAGTTCTCAGGCTGATATATGTATATATGCACAATTATTGCGTAAACTGGTTAGACGATTAAACTGAAATCTATTGTGTAGGTAGCCAATATGGGTGATAGTGAGATTTTCAAGAAACTAAATCTACATGAATATAATACAGACGGGAATCGATTTAAGCATGAAATGTGTGATACAGATTGGCCTACGTATTCATCAAGAATTCTTTAAATATATCTCAGAAAATAGAAGAGAAAAATCTTCAAATCTATCGTTGCGATTGTAATTTAAATGTGTTTAATGCACCTCTATCAAAGTATTTCATCGATATAAATATTATGTCACAATGAAACAACAAAAGACCACAATGAGTTGTAGCTTTGAGAATGGCAGTCCAGTCACTAGTGTAAAGTAACCAGATGACGTATTCTTTATTTAAGGATGATAAGTACCTTCAACTATCGATTCATAAGCTATTACGTGACAAGGCTAATAACATTTCTATCACATTAGTATAATTGTTTTTATATGATACCGTCGTTGCTTGGATTGAATTGATAGGTCTCTATTGGCATATGGGCTCCTGTGCGGATGCCTCGATATTGCCTGCGTTCTAATTGTATTATTGATGGATCGTGTCTAGCAGTGGAATCCAGGATGCGCATTTCGTCCTATTCGGGACTCGTCAGCTGGATGTACCTGCTTCCCAGTGAGTATTGTTCCCACCGGTGGTGTAGTGGATAACGCTCTGGCGTTTGAAGCGTTCGCTCCCGAGTCCGAATCCCGGTGGGAACAATATCACTCACTGGGAAGTAGATACACCCAGCTGACGAGTCCCAAGTAGGACGAAATGCGTATGCTGGATTCTACTGCTAGCTATGATCCATCACTAATTTCTATCACAGTTATAATCACATCATTGCTCACTTAGCATAATCATTGAATAACCTATATTAAAGTTGTATCCTGTATGAGAAACGCGAAGTTTACTGAAATTTCTGAATCTTGACAGGTATTACACAAAAGCCGTGTCAACGACTATTGAGATGTTTCTTTAATCGAATCAGGAAGCAGAATGAGTTACAATATGCGTCAAAGTACCACAATTTATCCGTTTATTTACAAGAATACTGACTGCTAGTCTTCGCAACATATGGAAATGAAGAAAACTTCAGTTTAGCTGAAAAGGATATTTGTAATGCAGGTTTATTTAACTATAGTAGTGTTATGAGACAGTGTTTCAAGCTAATTCGTTTTCAACAATATCCCCTTCTTACTTTTTGCACTCCATTGACATTTTCGTATTAGTTTGTCAAGAAGCTACCGTGTTAAACACATAATTCCAAACGGTAATATGATGTTCCTTTTTGATTTATCTTCAGATAAAGACACTTAACTTCACCACCAACCATCATACGTGTGGCTCATTGGTTTAGGTAGCTGCCTTTGAACCAATGGGCTATGAGTTCAAACACGGCCCCACCTGCTAATGTTTGGGCAGTCAGGTAGTATCATACGCTTGGAAAAAATGGAGTGACACATTGCACACTGCATGAATGTGCTCAAGGTTGTTAAGAGAGTATCAATTTTGACCTGCTAATTACAATAACGGAAAAACGTACTTGATTTCGGCTTCGAAGTCACACACATTACGGTATCAGAATGACCTATACAACTTCGCATAGGTTACGTGTCTCATCATAATGAACAGTGATAATAACGTCACTTAGTAACCATGCTAAGGTCAGTGGAAAAAACTGTGTGATGACCATTGTCACCAACTGAATGCTAAGATCGAACTCTGTGAAATACATCTTGAATACGTAATCTGTATAATAAAATCCACGTGCTGTTAACATCTACCGATAGTCCTTGTGTTCTGATCAGCATTACTATATATATATATATATATATATATATATATATATATATATATATGTATATATATATATATATAGTCCTATTTACCTGTCTTTTAATCGGTATGCCTAGCGTTTTGTAAAACGCACCACCTGTTCTAATATTCATAAGGTAAACGAATATAAGAAAATATGCGAATCTGGGTATATTAAAAGAGACTGGAATAATTTATTGCATAGTATATTCTCCTGCCTGTCTTTTAGCATTTTAATAACAGCAAATTGAATTAATCTTGTAAAATTGATAATGTGGTCGAATAGAGATACACTAGTAAAAGTCCATGCAAACTAGACTATTTGATTCTATTATAGAAAAAAAAAGAATAACACTGAACAATAAAGGTACCATTGGAGTTACTGTTCCAGTATTTTACATGACTTGCAAGTAATGAAGAGCATCTGAGCCAAGTAAGAGTGGAATTTTGGGTGGTAAGAACAGGATGCTTAGGTTTTAAGAGTCTTATATTTATGGCATAATTCAGAATTTCTTCTTCATTTTTGTTCAATGGAGACTAAAATATACTGACTACTTAGGCAGAAGATTATATAGCTTATACTTGCTAAACTCATCATTTTAGGTAACTCCATGAACAAATGATAAGATGGTGATGATAACAGTTGCAGGAGTTAGCGAGGAAGCTCTTTTCTAAACACAAAAAAGCAGCAACAGGAAGAAGAATCATTTATTTACATCTATAGTGTTGAATATATTCACTTGTGGGTCTGCTACTTAATAGTCTCACCTCTATTATTCATCTTAAGTTCGTTAATTTTTCACAAGAGTAAACGAGGAGAAATATGCACTGCTGGTATCCAGCATGTTGCTAATGTAGGCTTAATGTAACGTGACTGGTCATTATTTCGTTTAAATAAAGCGTGAAATCTTCACTTATTGGAATATTTTTACCTAGAGTGTCACATTAGGCTACACAGCAAAATGACAATTACCGGCAATGGAAATATGATACAATTGTGTCCTAATGCTTTCTATCATGTTCAGCACTAGCGAGGACTAATCAGGCGGTTGATAAAGTATTATTTCTCTTTGGCTTTTATTAAAACACAAACACACACAAGGAACAAAATAAACAAACTATTCAAAAAACGATAGACTGAAAGCACACTTTCAGGAAAATATTGATTGTTGAGTTTTTTGTCCACATACAAAATATTTTAAAAATGAGGGAATAATGAAAATAAAAAGGCTAAATCAAATTATGGTATTCAAAGGTTACTGACTACTGAATTTAAATAATTCACTTACTCGACTGTGTAAAGGACCAATCAGATAACATATAGTCGGTATGAAACACACAGCATTGAATAAACAGATGAAGCTGACAATAACGATGAGACGAAAGAAGTAACTGAAAAAGAAAAGTATTTGTCGATAAGAAGTGAGACAATAACAAAAATAATACACTTGAGACATTTATCAATAATTGACAAGTAACCCAGGTACATCTAAACTTATTCCAATAAATAAAAAAAAGAAATTGATATCAATTGTGTTGTGTTCACTGAGGTGAGTGGTTTAATTGTGAAGCTTTCATTGTCTTCATAGACAATATCATCAGTACTAACTTCATATTGATGTCAGTGCTGATGTTGTCTACCGAGACGATGAAAGCTTCACGATTAAACTAAGCAATAAGGAAGAAGGTAACACAACCAAGATCATTCACATGAGCTATAAGTATTCTCCACCTATTCAAAAACGAATTGAGCACAACTCAGTAAACATGTACAGATACTTGTAACATACGCTATAGATCAGTTACACTGTATATTTCTGGAAGTTAACGAACCAGGGTTTACAAAGTGAAACTATCGTTGAAATCAAGTGACCGTAGTGTTAAAGTATAGCTCCTGATCTGTTAAAAAAAGACGTCAGTAAATCAATATTCTCAAAACCTTAATTAGAATACAAAACTGAACACAATCAGGTGATTTACAATTTCGTACCATATTCTCACATACAGCATCAAAACATTTTTAATGAACACATATTTCAATGGTGGTCATCATTAAACTAGGAAATCAACTTCGGTTATTTAATCCTTGAAGCTGAAAGTAGTAGTACTACAACATATTTGATACTTTTCTCTTCTCTGATATTGGAGCACGTAAAAACTGGTCGTAACTCTTCCCCACCCATCATAGCGGTAACTGGAAACTGCGTTTAAACCTAAATTAACACATAACTGGTACAGTAGACAAATAAGTAGCACTCTTAAAAATAAATGAAGTTGATAGCTACTCAATTCAGTTAAACTCATACAGGCAGTTAAAAGTAAAAATATTCCCTGGTAAGGTTCACTAACTTTGCTCAGAACTCAGTAAGCCACAATTGCTACTGTGATAAAGTAGCTCAAGATACTCATTCTAAAGGCAAAAGTTAATTAACTCAGAAGGTAATCAAACGAATGAGTGTATATGATTGCGAAAAGTACCACTACTGAACAACTTGAGTAGTTGGAAACTATGCAGGCTGATCTGTAGTTTTTGGCCGGCCATATCAGAGTGACCTAAACACTAGACAGCCGTTTCACTCAATTAGAGACGAGCTCATGAGCTGTGTACCCGGACAAATCTGGCCAATAAAGACGAATTAGTTCAAATCACTTAAATCTGGCTAGCTGACTTGCATGAACTAGAACATAGATGAGTGGTTTCTCAGCTACATGAAGGCAGTGTCCACAGGTTTTCCGTTGAAAACTATCCAGCCAAGGTCACATGGTTTCATTTCCGACATAATCGTCTTGTGAACTGTTAAAAGATGCTATTAATGAATAACTTGAGGAGTTAGGTGGCTTTTTCACGTGTTTTGCGGCAAGCTTATCCACCAGTGTACACGGACAAATTCAGCTTACAAAGTCGAATTACTTCAGATTACTTAAATCTGGCTGGCCAACTTGCACAGACTGGTATGCCTAAAACAATCAATTTGCAAATGACTTATAAGTCGAACGGTCGACGTTGACATTTCTCACAGCTTGAGTTAGTTTTTCAACTGCTAAACTGTGGTGTCAGGACGGCTTTTTTCTGCTAGAAATTGGTCAGCCGAGATCACAAGGTGTGATCTATGATCTCTGACTTGAGTGTTTCCTTGACCCATTACCTTATTGCTAATTCGGAATTTCAAATCTCTATTTATTTGCAAATATTTAAAGTATATTATACCATCATTACTACTGATACTGTTAGCAGCTGATGAAAGGCCATGAGCTCACTTAATTCTGAGCATATCTTTGTTCTTGCATTGTTCAAATAATTGAATACACCTTATTAATCAATGTATCCAACAATTCAACCACTAGATGAAGAGATGTCCAGATTTTTAATGTTGTTCTTAGTAGACTTTTTAACTGTCATTTCAAGAAGTGGATTCAACAATACTTAGAATATGAATCGCATTGCATTTCACCTGGTGCAATAAACCAACTACTGTCAATGATGTTAAATACTAATATAATGTAGTATGACGGAGATTTGCACAACACACTAAAATGTTACTCCAAATAGTTTTAACAGCTGAATTATGCAGAAGCTTTGCACTAATGTAGGAAAATAAGAAATGAACTAACTGCTGTTTAATTACAAGATTACCAATCAAAAAAAAATGCGAAAATTTCTCAAGATCACTTGATAAATGGGTTAAATGATGATTGCCAAATTAATAATTATGTTACTGAGGAAAGTATATACAAACTTACTCAGCAATAAACTGAACACGTGCTGCAACCAGTAAAGATAATGCTAACAAAAGTCCCACCGTAGCATGAAAAGCTGGAGTAAAGTGATTAATCAGTATACGCACAATTTGAGCTCTAACAAGTTGACGACGTTTAGATATATTAGTGATTGTTTTGTGTACAGATGATGGTGATTCAGACAATATAACTTGTTTAGGCTCACGCTTCCCACTCTCAACGTGTGCACAAAACTGACCTGCATCAGAAGGACATCCATATGACAAATTAGATTGACATAGACATAATTTACGAGTTGATCGACTTGGTGATGAATCCATATACAAATGAGATACAGGCCATAATCCAAGAAAACCAGCTGAAATTCTAGCACCCAAACCTCCAGACAATAATAACAAACAAGCAGAAATAGGATTTAAAGCCAAATCTAGTAAAACCAAACCAATGATAGCAGAACATGTACCACCTACTGCACCGATTACAACTAAGAGCAGGACAGTAATAGGGGAAGAAAATAATATCAGCCCAGCAACAACAATGACACCACAAAATATGCCAAAAGCAATTGCTGTCTCTCGAACCAAGTAAATATAATGTTCAACAAAAGTAAATGGTACACCGGTAGGAAAAGATGGAACGCCTTGAACTGTTGCAGTTTCTGTAATGTGTCGAACTTTCTAGAGATCAAATGGAAAAGAAACAAACAGTAAAATACTAAATAAGTTTTAAGAAAATCTAAACATAATCTGCAAAATATCATCTGCGATCAAAGAGTCTAGTAAATTTTTAGCTAAAGATTACCACCTAATGATACATGCTTCGGAAATAAATTCTAGTGTTTGTGAAACTGTAAGTCAAAATGCCCAACGTTCAGCAAGTTACATACATATATATCAGCTTCAAATTACTCACCTGAACTAAATCAAGTTGTGAATCCATTTCACTAACACCGACAGCATAAAACTCGTCTGAACAAATTCAATTGGTTCAGCTGGAGATAATATATGTAAATCAGAAGGACGTCCAGGACCCGTTAGACGACCTACATGCACTATACTTGGTTCTGGGTAAATTACACAAGGTAGTGATGAAAAGTTCAGAGCATCCTTGAACGCCATACACGTAAAAGTGTATAAAATGCTGGAGGATCTACTATTCCACCACGTACTATACGGCCAGTATTAATCTAAACAGAGAATAAATAAAAATATAATCACAATTATAGATATACCAAGATAAATATTTTATTTTAAGAATCATCAATTAGTTAAGAAACTTACTCTACTCAACTCAGGTCCACGATCCGTTTGAACAATTAGACGCAAACCAAGAACACCAAGTTCACTTGTATTAGCATTCCAATGTCCGCTGTCCATTATATATCCTTTTTTACGGTCTACATCAAATGCATTTTGCACCTCCTCTAACCAATCACGCATTGCATCCAACCATACCTTACGTCCTGACAACATAACACCTGAAATGCCAGTCAAACAGTCGTACATCCAACGAAGACGACGCTGTTGCATAGGAAAGTCTATTCCCCGTCCTACAGTAGCTAAGCTTACACGAGATCTAGTAGATGTTCCACTAGAAGCTGATGCAGCGGTATACTGGAACACTGATTGACTAGAAACTGGCCGAGATCCAGGGAGATCAGAACCTCGTGCAATTACATGAAAGTTACTTAGACCAAAAGCTTGTCCTGCTGTTTTAATAAATCCATATTCTATAGTATCCGAAGGTGTTAGACTTGACCAATCCAAACCTAAGCGTATCCGTAAGGCGGCACAAAGCACAGCTGTGCAAAACAATCCACATCCCAATAGGCAAACACAGAGTTGTACAATCCAATGACCTGTGAGGAGTAGAGCAAAATGTCGAGCAAACCGTACAAGCAGTGGAGAGGGAAGAGTTGTTTTCGATTCTACACCAGGTTCTGATTTATTTACACATTTCTGTAGATCCTTTTGATCTGATGTTGAGATTTCATTTCGACAAGTGGGACAGTCATTTTCACACTGAAAAGGAATAGTTTTATAAAACTCATAACAATATCACTTTGAAATAGGAATTATAATTATTTAAAGTTACAAAACGCATTTAAAACAAAATCTTTTCGCAATATATTAAAAACAATATCGTCAAACAGATAACGGCTAGAAAGAAACACTACACAGGCTTCATAACACTTAATAAGGTGACTAAAAGTAACCAATAAATAAGTTTACTTCTCTTAGACATAAATTCAATCACTAATTCTAAAAAATGGCTATAACCGTGGAATCATTAAGTTTTACGAATAAAACTAACTGTGGAAAACAGTAATAATTTCATCAAAATGTTTATGATTATTGATAACTTTCGTTTGAAAAAAAAGGTACATATTCTTTTGTGTTATAATCCCAAATGAGTTCACTAAATCAACCAAGTGTTTTCGTTCTTATAGAATTCTGTATCACTTATTGCCAAACTATTTCGAGAAATGCAAACATATAACATAAAAAAATTGTTTAGCGGTCTAGAGTAATAGTGTTTATTGACTGACTAGTAATCCACCTAATACTGCTACAACTACTATTATCATTATTACCACTACTATTACCATTACTACTACTACTATTATTATTATTATTATTACTACTACTGCTAGGTGAAACGGAATCATTAACCGGCTAGCATTATTCATAGTGTAAAATTATTCGATATTGAAACAAAGGAAACAGTGCATTGAAAAATGCTTCAATTAACATGTATGCGAAGTTCAAAAACATATGCACCTAGTAACAGAATAGGTAAAATTTGGAATAAGATATTGTCAAATATAACCATATTGATGGAAATTATGTTATCAACTTTCTGAAGGATAGTTAAAGCATTAAACTTCTACTAACTTACTAGACAACTCTGTCTATTCAGGGAAAGATGATAAGAGATAGATTACTTCCGGACTAGTTTGTCTGAATAAACGAATATGTTCATAAGGCATAAAACAACTACTGTTTAAAACTCCACTTCGTTCAACGAACGATTCAAGTAACCTTGACATATAACTACACTATATAAGTAGAGAACCGGTGACCATAACATTCATGAAGAATAGAAACTATCCTATTGTTATACAAAATTGTAAGACAACCAGCAGGTATAAGGAGTTTTAGGTTTATTAGCTATAATAGAATTTAAGCTAGTGTATGTACCATCATTCTGCTGTTGCACACGCATGTATATATATATATATATATATATATATATATATATATATATATATATATATATATGAACATATTTCTTTTAGCTAAAATCCTACTGTCCGAAAAAAGATTTTTCTCGCTTTTTTACACACTAAAAACACAAAGCGGATCGATAACGGAAAAAAATACCAGAAAAAAGAATCATGCTTTTTCTCTGAACCAATGAAAACATTTTGTGACATTTGTTGTATACACAAACGTGATTGGACAGATTAGACATTCAAGTTGTTAAAAGCATACACATATATAAATATATCAGTGTTTTTTTTAAAACTTGTTTTCGTTTCTTAATCGTGAAATGGATGGTTGTTTTCGCTACACAATGATATTTGCTTACTGACAGACAAACACATACGTAAGCTATAATCCGGCGAAGAAGAACACTTACACTATGATCAACACCTACCTACCTACATCAGCGTTTAACGAAGAAGGAAAGATAGAGCAGAGAAAATACGGTTGTTTAAACAACACAAGCATAGTTCACAAAAAAATAGGCAATGATAAATGTAATGACTGCTAAAACAAGGAAAAACCACAGTTAAAAACTTGACTAAAGGTCATTTCTGTATGAAGCACATTCAAAACACAAAGATTTTCGACGACGTATTGAGTAGACTGGACCCATATATGCACTGCTGAATGTCATAAATACCTTATTACATCGCAACTCCATATATAACTATGTTATAACTGTACTCTAGTAAATAAGTACAAAGCTCAGTAACATAACCCAACAAATAAGCTATCTAATGAGTCTCTTCCAACAGATAAAATAAAATTTACCACAAAAATTTATGCATAAGCTCTATTCTGCGTTCATAGAAAATTACTGCATTTTGAAAGCAATTTTTTATGAGTTCGTTACTTGACATATATAAACATTCTCTTACTCTATATTAATGACGGGTAGTGGCTGGAAGTGGAATCCAGTTTGATGCACGTTTTATCCTATTTGGGACTCGTCAGCTTATGCTTTCAATGTGAAACAGGTAAACAGGGAAATGTTTTGTATCAATACTACCTAATTTAGAATTCCGTTTTTTTTTCTCCTTTTTAGAGATTAAAGGAATTCAACTGATAACATTATCAAACTTCGACATGTGTTGATTAATGTTAGTACACATTTAAGTAAACCTTTATGCTTTCAGAAATGATTGTCTGTCTGGTCTCAGGTCCAATTCGAGCTGAGTTTATTGTTATCGGAACATTAAATTTTACTTTTGCTATCTTATATAGAGCAATAGCCCTAACTCAGAGTATATCTTCTTTTGAGCTTTTCTCAACTCTCAGGATTAATTATCTGAACTCTACAAATTTTTATTCCCATATATCATCATCATTCTTCTAAGGTTTACAATACTTTCTTGAACTAAAGTGCACTACATGATGTCACTGTAATCATTTTTATCATATGATAAACAAATCACTAAACACAAAAAGCAACCCTGAAAAAATGTCTAAAAACATCATACTTTAGTAAAAACCAACCTCAAAACTTGTCAGTTTTTCGCCACCAGTTGGGTCGGAAGAACTGGATAAACTAGATTTCTTATCTTGATTACCGGTAACAGTGACCGTAGTGTGAACAGTATGAGCATCCGGGTTAGTAACCGTCTTCACAACGGCTGCTGTACCATCATTATCGAAATGTGAAACAGATGATAAACGCTTGATCCAGAAAGATGGTTGACTACATTAACCTGTATTGTTGGATGTGAAAAACTGGAACTAATGTGTGTCTCTGCTAAGTTGACAGAAATATCACGGTTAGTGCTTAGTTTTCTTGATTTTGAACAACGACAATGCCGACAATGATGGTGATGATGATGGCGATGACGATTAGGTATTAAATTTTTATTACCAGAATGATGACTTAGCGTTCGTAGATGGCATGATTCAGAATGGCAAGCAACAGTTGACCTGTGAGGATTTGTAATTATTGCCGTTTCCACATCCGGTTGACGTAGACAGCATAAAACATCTAAACGCTTTTGACTACGACGAGTTGCGTCAAGTTGTAATAGAGCAGGGAACAGAATTAATACACTGACTGACTGTACAAGAGTAAGAATACCAGCCTGAAAGAAGATAATATAAGTTGCATTTATACATCAATATAAAATTACTAAACGACGAATAATCAACGATGACATTGGGTTGCAGTGGAGCTGTCATGAATTGACAGAGGTTGGAAATGTGAACCATTAGATTCCGACCCAGTGGCTCAACAGCAACGTACTTGCCACAGAACCTAAAGGTTGCGGGTTCGATCCCTGGTGAGGTCATGGGTGCGCACTCCTGGAGAGTCCCATACTAGGACAGAACAGATGTTCTGTGCTTCTAGGCTTCCATTGTTCATCCAACTGATATCAGTCCACCATGAATACCAAGTTGAAATATCTCTAAATCCCCACAAACCTCTCAAATTTAATAAGTTCGAACACCGCTATCACCCCCACCAATAGAGGTTTGGTTAGACAGATAGGATTCGAAACATCAGCGGCTTGGTGCTGTATCAAATGATCTACGAAATTTAACCCAGTTGAGCAGGGCTTTTTGCTGATTTCCTCCAAGCAACTAACACTCGTCAAAGCGTACCACAATGATGACCCTACTAGTTTGGTGGTCACACTGCAAATGATCGATAGAAATCCACCAATACTCAAGGCTACTAACGTACATATTCCATTATGCAGTAAAGTTACATACATATACCATTACTCCCTAATTTCCAACCAAAAATAACAGAAAGATTCATTGGCATACTTCAATTATCCCTCACTACATGAATCATGGAAGAATAGTCCAACAGATTTATTTTATTACACATACAGTGTCATATGAAATGTCCAGGCGGTAGGCTTATAAAATCCTGTTGAAAGGACAGTAGACAATTACCTACGAATGAATTAGTGCCTGTATATCCTACAATATAGTGATCAGATACATAAGATATTTGAGTACGTAATTATAAACTTATTAGTTATTCTTTTAGGGAATACAATAAGTGAAGTTGTACTTCATTTAGTACGAGTGTTTAAACACTTGTCATTAGACTTGTATAAACTGTATGAATTGAAAATTGGTTAGATTGCCTGAATGCTTATGACTCCAAGATTACAATTACAATTCTCATTCTTTCTGAGCAAATCTGGGTGTACATGTTTTTACTAACATAAATCATAAACACTGTCGCATAATTCGGTTTCGAAAATAGTATATCAACTTTCATATCCCATCCAAATTGGCTATATTATGCTGATTAAACTGTGCCTTAGTTAAATCAGCCTGAATAATCCGTGATTTCTGAGTTATAAACACACTACTAAACAAGGTAACTCAATAATCACATATAAGTTCATGCACAAAGCAATGAGATATACCTACTGTATAAGAGCTAGTGATACTACTTCGCTGTCCGTACCTAGATATTGGGAGTGGGCTACGTACCCATGACCCGCTGCTTAACAGGCAAATGCCTAGGACAATGAGACAGTTCGACGCAGACTATCCCGAAGAGCCGCTGGTTATCTACATAATCAGGCTAATAATGTGCTGATCAGATGGAAATAAGTAAAAGAATCACATTAACTGGGAATATTTTCAGTCTTAGAGATGATAAAAGTTAAAGTAACTCAAAAGTGACCATACAGAATCAACCCAAATGGAAATTATTACCATCGCCTTAAGTCATGTTCTTTGATCTCTTTATTTCTAATCCAGCTGTTCGGCTAGATACTCTGTGAAGTTCTAAATGCCTATCGTGTGACAGTTAATAGTCTTACCTACTTCCCCAAACCGCCTTGGGTGTAACAGGTCCCAAATGCAGAAACTACTGTTAGTCAACGGTCAGATATCAATCATCCACAACTCTACAAACATTATTACGGTATACAACTTGCCAATTTAATTTTTTTTTTAAATAACATATGATTGAAGGTTAACAAATGTTTCTTTCTAGTGTGAATTGTGAAGTCTTCTGGACACCTTGAAAGGAAATTCGAGAATGTTTGGAATGTGTTTCTCGCCACCTAAATGCAAATCGTTGCTCCAGGACTGGCCTCCAACGGTAATCTAACTAACAATAGAGAGTGAAGTGGTTGAGCGCGTTGACCAGTTCACTTACCTGGGAAGTCAGATCAGCTAAGGTGGGTCAGTGGCAAACAAAATCTCTCCACAGATACAAAAGGTTCAGTTGGCTTTTGACAACTTACGCCATCTCTAGAGCCACCGCGATATCCGGTTGTCCGTTAGAGTGTACTATGTTGTAGTCCACTCCGTTCTAATGTATGGCTGTGAAACATGGCCGTTAAAGGCAGAAGACATTAGCAAGCTTCAGGTGTTTGACCGCCGCTGCCTTCGTAGTATAGACTCTGTTTCATGAAGTCACCACGTGAGTTACGCAGAAGTCAGGGGTAGAGTTTTAGGGAGGAGAGGTAAGACGCTTGATGCGGTTGTGAACCTTTTATCGACTGAGATGGCTGGGATATGTGTTAAGTATGCCTGGGCACTGTCTACCTCGTCACACAACGCTGGACGAAATAGGTTCACGGTTGAAAAAGACTCGGGGTGGCTAGATTAAAACATAGCATCAATTCATAAAGTCCTTGGTTATTCGTCCGGGCCGTGCAGGGCGATTCAGACTAACCGGTTGCGGTGCGCAGGCCAAGAGAAACTAGTGTTTAGAGACTCTAGGTGATATGGCTTAGAACCGATGTCAGTGGCGCAGAGGCATATACACCTCACCTCAACCGCTTTACTTAATCTCATCATCTTATCCTTCCTTCCTCTCTTTTACTACTTCTACTTCCTTTGACTGATTTTCCTTTCTTTCTTCATCTTTACTTTATTGCTGTTTATGTATATTACTTGGAGGTTAGCAGACTATCTAGTCTTAACACAACCGTCATGAAATATTAGAGAAAAGTTAGTCACCGTAAAAGGTACATGTTCCCAACCTCAATGGCAGACTGCACTGTGTTAATAACATTATATACACTTAAATTCAACATCGTTCACTGGGTAATTTCCTCAGACGCTTTCACGATACTTAAGACAGAGTACTTGATCGAAGATCATTCGAAGCAATATGCTGGATATGAATCTATGGCAACACTAATAATCAATGACTTCAAATGCGAGCACCTGGTAAATCCAAAAAAGTGGATAAAACAAGTGGTCAGAATTTCACTCTCTACCACAGTTAAAATAAAATCAAGTCTCTGTGTGACTTAATAACACTCTACAATGAAATAAGGGTTTGCAACTGACAGAGAACACGGATTATTTACATGAATTTGAGTCACTTCCATTTAAATCAACTGAATGTTATAAGTGCCTATTTCAGAAGTAGTAACACAAATTATTGAATTCAGCTGTGGAGTTGATTAAAATTATCTTACTGACCTTATAACTTGTTAGATTGAATTATAAAACCGAGCATATATCAGTAACGTCTAAGGTTATATATATATATATATATATATATATATATATATATATATATATATATATATATATATATAATATATATATATACATATATATATGCTCTTCAAAGTAACCACCTATGCAGGTGTGCATACAGAAATGCTTTTCATGTAAAGGTAGATGTAAATGTCCGAAACTTGACAGTAGACCACCAACCATGCGAAGAAAGATTTCCAACCTACAGCTAAATTTAAAGTAATTAGGCAGTTGAAGAAGATTTTCTCATACGTGTGTGTATCTGTATAGTGAAGTGATGTATATGTGAATCACAACCTGTGTGGTAGGTAGGTCATAACACATAGTAAATTAGTTGCCACATTAGACGACAATTTAACAAAAGTCTTTAAAGTTATTTCTTTATGTGAATGAAAAAGACGGAGATAAAACTGGAGAGAGATAATGGCCAATGAGAGATAAGCAACTTGTAGGGTGGTCTTTATACTACATTCGAAAGATAGTTTTAAAAAAACTCTTTCAAAAGAACTGAAGGAAAAGAATGCGACCATGTATCAGTGTCAAATAGGTTTCATATAAACTTGTATATTTCTGTTTAGTCTTAATATAGGTTACTTTAACAACATCCTAAAATGCCTCAAAAAGTGTATTTTAAGTATTACTGGGTGGTCTAGATGAAATTTCTCGTGTGGTCAAAATAATGCATGCTAGTACACAAGCGTATATTTTTTTTTGTCGTCTGTTTAAACAGTATATTACAAAGGTATGCTTAAAACTTTCAATGGAAAAAATTGGAAAGAAATATATTACATAGCATTTGCGTTTTGCAACTAGATCAAACTTTACAATGCGAAAGAAAGTTGTTAAACATAGGCAGGATTCAAAACATTCAGTAGTGTAAGCTACTTTAAAACTACTCTCACCTGTAAACAGAATTGACGTACCAACGGGACGGGAATAAATGCAGCAGAAAAGAAAGCACTAGTTATAGAAATTGCACTAAAAAGAAGGCTTGGACCATGTACAGATAGTACATGAACAGGAGAAGTAGATGACTTTGATGACCACGAAGATAACGACACCGTTGAAGACCAGGTTGTCTAGACATCAAAGATGGGTAAAAAAAATTCAGAGTCTTAGAAATGCTTGAATATTACTTTAAAAATAATTTTACATATATATATATATATATATATATATATATATGTTCTTGACAATTTCGTCAACGACGAACAAGATGTAACTCTGTTGGTTTCATTTTCAATACAGAATATTTTAACTTCATTCAAACGAAAAGGATTAATGTAACAAATGAACAAGTGAAAATTCCCTGAGTTGAATTTATTAAGATAAATAATGTCAAACAACTTCATAATCATAACGTGTTAAAACATCAGGAAACCTATTTGTCTCTTTGTACCATTCATTAACTACTCTCAACCAAAATAACTGATGAATAATACAACCACACAAGCTCTAAGTCACACAACTAAGGTTAGCCTAAAGTTGAAGTGTAACTGATTTGACTAAATTGTCTCAACACCGATAAGTCATTTTTATACGTCACTTGAAAATATCTGCGATATAGTATCATACTGTAAAATCAGAAACCAATCATAATTCTTAAGCTAAAGAATAAAATGAGGCTTTCTGAAGACCTCCTACATTAACTATACACGATAAGGTATGAACTAATAGCAATGAAGTACTACGCAGTAAGCAGACAACTTTATGTCTTTCATCATTAAGTAGATGGTACATATGGATCAGAAAACGACAAGATCCGAGTACTCAAAGAAGTGAAAGATAAAATAAAATAAAAGCAATACTTTAAGAAGGAGACCGTGTCCTTACATTTATACAGTTTTATGAAAGTTGGTGTGTTATGATGAGAAATTCAAAATAAATTCAAAACACTTACGGAGTCTGAAGAAGTTGGGTTAGTTAATGAAACTGTGCGGCGAGCAATACAACACTCATGACAGCTGGTTAAAACAAATATACTATCCACACCCAAGCCAAGAAGTAGAAATGGTAATACCTATAAAAGTAAGAATAAAATAAACTAAATCATCTCATTATGCTATCAACAATGTGACTATTTTGAAGACAAAAAAGTTTACAACAAGATACTTGACCAAAAGCTGAGACGATTTTTGATGAGATTAACTCTCAATCTGTAACTTAATACTTTTGCATTGTTCAACAAATTCAGCTGATACCAGTTAACTAGTGTACACACTTTCCTAGTATGCCTTGCATTTTCATAATACTGACAAAGTATAACGAATGAACCGCCAAGCTTCACAAAATCTGCACTTCAGTGAATATTAAAGTGACTTTCATTCACTGAATAGCAATCAATTCATCAGACAGACAGACAGATGGACAGATATCTAAATTATAGAATTGTACTTTCATCAATGACTAATTTACTGCCAGCTGAAGAGTCCTAAACACTAGATAACAAAGCATTATAAGTCCAAAATAGAAATTAGCCTGGTTGGCATCAATTTCTGTTGAACTACTCTCGCATACTTCACACATCAATATAGTGAGGTAAAACTAAGAGTTGGAAAACCAACTACAAAATAATAACACTAATAGGCACCACCAGGCAACTAAGTTGGAAAAACATCGACATATTTCCAATTTTGAGGAGGATAAAACAAGAGTAAATCTGTGCAATTTAAACGGGCTTTGCACCATACTATCTTAAGTATATGAACACTGATTTCAGTTAATATGGACTACACAACCAGAAATTTAATATTACTCAGCACACACTGAATCTGAATCGAAAACTTAATGAATCAGTCACTAGTCACGTTTCTGATCACTATCTTGGTGCTTTGCAGTTCTATAACCAAAACCTACTGGTATAACGAGCTGAAGAAAGATACCGACGCAAATGCGTAACTCATTTCTTAGCATTTTTGTCGAATGATGCAAAACGCCTTAGTTACTGATACTCTATCCTGCTCTAGACTATTCGGTGGTTTTGCCATGTATGAGCCATTTTGAAGTTATTTTATGGTATACCACCTGATTTATGATACTCGTAATTTATTACAGCTTAAAATTATCTCGCTTCAGAGAAAAATTCGATGTATGACTCAGTCATTTAGGCTGTAAACATTAGGTTATCACACCATCCTTTGAGACACCATTTCATTTATTTCGCCCCTCATAGCATAACAGGCTTTACTTGCAGTTTATTTTAGTTTTGAACATTCAAAATGACTGTGTGATCATGCAATCATTTCCTGTTAGTTTGGATAACTAATAATTGACTAAAGGTCAAAACATTTTTGGTTATTTAAGAACTGGTAATCTTGTCCGTAATCTAAAGGATGGGTAAACACGAGAAAAAGACCGTGAATTTACACTTATTGCTAAACAAAATAACCCCACCTGAATAGTTAACACGTTGAACGGTATTCCAACAGCTGCACAAATCCCTAGTCCAGCCACTGATGATAACGCTATAATCATCAGGCCACATAACGCCAACCAACACTGAGAACGAACAGGATCCCTCCAACCAAGGAGACAGACAACTCCATAAAGAAACTATCAAAGGAGTGGGAGAAAACACGCATACAAAACAGCGTGAGAAGAAAATCAAACAGAAAAATAAACTATATTCACTCTGTCAATCTACAAGGAACATAAAACAGAATAAACATAAAACTAGGGGGAACAGAAAACTTCTTAGTCATATGATGACAAATAGATTTTGTTAACTGCCGAGTCAATACAAAATTTGATCGACAGATACACGTTAAAGAAAGGATATTGTATATTGGAAAGTTGTTCATCGGATAAATAACTTCACTGTGTGATTAATCAGAATCTCAACATTCAATTTCACCTATTTTGTCCTGTTATTCTAGCCCTGGAAAGTAAAGGCATATATATATATATATATATATATATATATATATATATATATATATATATATATATATATATATATATACTGATTAGAAGTTTAATGACACCATAAAAAAACGTCTAATAATTTTCTCATGCGAAAAGAATGTACCACATAGGTACCAACTGGCATACCAGCATGCTTATATTTGTTTTGTCCTGTTCAAGTTGAATATAGTTGTGATAGATGTAAACGCAAATCTGTATGTGAATACTCAATGGTCAAAATGCTGATTGACAGGCTGAGAGATATGACTAGAAGGTAATACAATTCGACCAAATGGTTAAACTTTAATGGAAAACTAGATTCAAGATTATCTTTTGTTCCTTAATTCCTCTAATAATGCCAAATGAATTACAACTGATGGAAATGTTTGAATGTAATTTTACCGACTGGAATCCATTCGTATCACTTTTTCTTTCTAAAGATTACTAAAAAATATTGTCAAAACAGTGATTTTGCTACCGAGTAGTGTTGGAAGATTCTCATGAGCTCAATGATGTAGGCATAGCAATAAATTACTGAGCAGACAGACCACTTCTCAACTCGATACCATTCGACAGACATCTGTGTCCTGTCCAATAGAATGGATCTGTAAGAACTGGGAAGGATCGTGACATTTAGCCAATTTCCATTCACAGTATCCACCGACGAGCCCACCGACTGTAGTTCTCATAATAAAACAAAGAAAGAATCCTATTAAAATTTGTCAATTTCCCTATATAAAGCAAAACATTCACTAAACTCAATAGTCGGCAACTTTAACGCTCAAGTAAGAAATCTGAACCAATTAGAAAGGCATCTTGGAGGTATCTAACCAAAGGTTAAATACTCCAATGGATTCCCTCAAACCTCATCTCTACTGAAAAATGACGACAAACTCACTTCACGCGGTTTTGGCTGGAGTGAGGAGCGAAAGGAGCTTAAATGTAAGTTGATAAATAGTCTTCGTAATGAACGTGAGCACTGGTGAGCGGTGGTAGCGAAAGCGATAGAATAGACATCAGTAATCAGTAATACTTCATAACTATTTAGGCTTATTAAGGATACCGTCAAGAAGACGATGGTCGAAAAGGCCATCATATGAAAGGATGATACCCTGATAACTTTCTCAGGATAGACGGCTAGGACTCTGGACGGAATAATTTGAAGAACAGGTCACTGGTCCATAAAAATGCTTCAGTTGCTCAGAATCCAGCCAGGACCCGAGTTGGACGTTGCTGTCAGTCCTTCAACTATCATCGAAGATGAAGAGGCTGTTTCAAACTTGAAATGATGACTTTCTGTGCACTAGACAATAACCCATATCTATTATGAAGGCTAATCATACCATTTAGCTGTGACTCACTGGCTGAAAACCGAGTGCATAAACAAATGAGCCAAAGTTCCATATTAAGACACTTTATTAAACTGAACTTTCCTATAACTTATAAACAGGTAGTAGAATACTTCGAATAATCTACAGGAGCTTAAAATTTAATTGAAGTGCTCAAATACCTTTCAAAAGAACTGCCTTGAAAATAACCTTAACTTCAAGTCTCTTCTCTTCCATAGACATTGCCGGAAAACCTTCAACCACCACTGCATCCAATACTAGTAAAATTTTATCGGCTGCTGTAAAGTCAATGAACGTTCACAGACCACATAAGAACTTACATATCAAACCTTTGAAATTAACTGGATTTACTTAAATCATCCTCATTTTACAAAACGTATACCGAAAATATCAACGGTTACTTCGCAACTCTGAACCAATGTAGTTTCTTCTAACAGAGTAAATACATACTGGAGGGAGGACAGCATAAATTGTATCTGTGAACTAAAGCTCTTAACTCTGGTTGAAACAATATTTTGAAAGTGAAAATAGTTTCTATAAAAATATAAAGCGACTTCTTACATTACTAATAAACCTACACCAAAAGATGCATTATAATTATACAAGTACACCTGAAAATCAAAATCAGTTGATAGACAGCTTTTGAATGAAAAGAAAGCATTTTCTAATTGTAAAGGAATTCAACACAATACTGTAACAAAAATGCTTACCACCAGCAGCACACAGCCAATTACTGTGATAGGTCCTAGACGAAGAGTTATCTCCTGTAAGAGATCACGTAATGAAGCGTTAGTAAAAGCGAAGAACTGCCATCTAGTTGAAGGCTGCAAACCACTGTTGTGTTCAATAACCAACTATGGAAGAAAAAAATACGACAAAGTTTCATTACCACACAAAAATTGAACAATTAAACTAGATAACTTTTTGTTTTGGAAGGAATACAGACATCCTATTATTAAGTTTTGATAAGTATTTTAGCCAGAGAAGATAAAAAAGGAAACACGTCAACAAGAACTAGAACTCATTGTGTAACGCACGATAAGTTTAAAAAATCTGGCAGCAACAATGAAGTGACGCATGAAGACTACTTCTTCACAATCACTGTGAACGTCTCCAAGTCGAAGTAAGAATGTATTTTAATAAGGATATAAACAACTTACACGTCTTAGGTTGCGCCTCCATTCACGTAAAACGTGTCTAGCATCGTCTAATGTCCAGTCTTCATGTTTGTATGGATCACTTCGCCTAACTGCTTCATACAAATCTCTCGGAGAGCGCAGTAAAATAAGTGACTGGAACGAATTAGCTTTCAATAGGTGCGCGATTTTCTGTGAGCCTTTACTACTTCTGTTGAACTCAGTGGATGAAAATATATGACTAGATAACTGAGATGAACTGGTATCATTTTTGTCTGCATTGACTAAAACAGTTTGCAATTCTGTACCAGGTGATATATCCAAACTGCTGTTCGAATGCACCCGACCACCAACTATAATTTGCTCCGGCCAATGGAGCATGTTAGACGCAAACCCTGAACAGCCGCCACTGAGTATTCTAGATATATCTGGAGGCTAACCAATCAAAACGAAATGTATTATTGAAAATAAACTTATAAAATATTAAAGAAAAATCACTAAAAATATACTTTATTTACAGTTGTAATAGGAACCCATGACAAGTAATATGCGCAAAACTTGTTTTTCTACAAGAAGGAAAAATATGAACTGTTTTTTAATCGCCCGAATATTGTAACATGCCGATTTCAAATCTATGTGACTTCTATATTTCCCCTGATTCTTAATTCAATTAATAATAAAGTAAAGGATGACAGACAAAGAGAATTTACAGAGAACTACAACCAAACTTAAGAATAATATAAAAAACACAGTAGTATGATACTGTATAATTGATGTGAACTTCTGATTTTGGTGTATCAAGCTGCAATAGATATTATTGATAGCTATTCAGAGATATTGGTTCGCAACCATAACACATGAATTGCTTATCAGACACTAAATACATTATGGGATGTACTTTTAATTGCAGTTAATTGAAATTAGTGTAATTCTGTGGTCTGACAAAATAGAAAAATTTATAATGATTTTTCAAGTTGATGTTTATCGTGGACGGACATCAGTTGGAGAAACACTGGAAGCCTAGGAGTACTGGACAGATGTTTCGTCCTAGCATGGGACTCCTCAGCAGTGAGCACCCACGACCCCACCAGGGCTCGAACTCGCGACCTTCAGGTTCCGTGGCCAGCATGTCCATATTTCCAACTTCTGTCAGTTCACGACATAGCACGACCGCCATTCAATGTCATCGTCGAGTATTTGTCCTCTCGACCACCAGGTTTGCCCCACTGGTCACGACTTCTCACCGGAACTTCGGGAATCATTTCTCGAAGCTAGTCACCAATCAGCACTAGTTCAATTGAATTCGGGGGTTTGTGGGGATTTAGAGATTTTTCAAGTTGGCATTCATCTTGGAAATATGGACCATTGAATTCCGACTCAGTGGCTCAATGCTAACGTGCTGGTCATGGAACTTCAAGGTCACGGGCTCGATCCCTAGAGGGGTCTTGGGTGCACACTGCTAGGAAGACCCATACTAGGGCGAAACAGCTGTCCAGTGCTCCCAGGTCTCTAATATTCCTCCAACTGATGTCAGTCCACGATGAATACCAACTTGAAAAAATCTCTAAATCCTCACAAATCTCGAAATCCAATATAATGATTTTACTGAAACCATTTGAAACATAAGTAATGCATAGTTATAAGAAAGGCATGTTTATCACTGGCATTAATAATCTTACAAATAGGAACTTCATACATAAAAATGACTTCAAATATATACACAGTTATTTTACAGTCGGTCATGACAACTTGACAATACGTTGGGGTACTCACTTTTCCTCTATAATTAGGAGCTGATATTGGGCAAGCAGGATCTGAAGGGTCTAAACAAGTACGATTTAAGTAACCATGGTTTATGCCAGCATCACGAAATAAACTAATCAGATTTTTAATTTCAGTTTGTGAATAGTTCCCATAACGTCTTGAAAGATCTTGGAGTAATCCAACAGGATCAATGTTTGTCCATTGAAGGAGAGTACGTTCATCGAACCTTTTCATATCGAAAAAAACGAAGCAAAATACAAATTTATATTATTAAATCATTAAAACATGACAATAATAGTTTTAGAACATTTGAAAACTACCATCTAAGAATCAGAATCAAGACTCAACCTAAGAACATATGATACAGCAGGATACTTCTTTTTTGAACCGGAATACTTTGCAGCTGTAATAAATACTCATTACTTCTGTCGCCAACTTTTTTTCGCCCTTATTATTTTTTATTTCGCTGGTAAACTTTTATTGTAGGAATATCATATATGATAACTACAGCTACTGTATATATGAAGATAAGATGGGGACCCACAAAAAAAACACCTTTAGTTCAAGTACCTACACATAGTAATATACAAAAAAATATTATTAAAAAAAACCCCAATTCAATCATAAAATAGGTGATGATGGAACAAATATATTGGAAGAATCATAACATCCGGAAATTCAAAAGTAGCTTAGCAGTGAATGGATCAATTCTCAAGCATACTGCTGATATGATTTGATAGAACGGTTCCATGAACAGAAAACAAATGAACCAAGATTGAAAGATTCACAAACTATAAATTTGTTTCTGTTTGATATCGAAATCGTATGAGTAGGTGAAAACAGGAAATCCGATATGTCCTGAGACGCCTAGGTCATTATTACACAAAGGTACCTTGTGTGTATTTTAAACCAAGATTCATGTTTATCTTTGCATGAGAAACATATTTATTATCACATACTATCCGTGCAGAATCTATTCAGAACCATTCACGAAATAGTACTAGCTAAACCCAGGATACTTGTCTTCAGAAACTGAATGGACCTCTCAGGTAAAACGCTAACCACAGTACATGGAATGAAAAAAATCTAAACATCCTCTACAAATTACATTGACGACTGAATAGGATGCCGAAAAGTTAGGAATAACATCGCACTGTACACCTTTCAGGTAGCATGACTCATAGGGTAAATATGATAAAGTAAAACTGAAAAGTAATGGACAAAATCCAGAAGAATAAGATCATCAGTACTTACGGTGACATAAATGGATTTATTTGTGTGGTTTTGAACCATATCGTCTAATTACATTAATCGCCTAAAGTGCTGCATACATCTAAAGCAGACCTTTAATTAAATTATTTATATTTTAGTGATATGTATTTGTGTATATCAATGACTCAGTAGTTGACAATTCAAACGTTTGCGTTTCGGATCGACGTCTGTTTTGACATATTCTTCAACTAGTTGATTATTATTTTGATTATCAGTGGTTATTTAAAGCGTTAATTTTTACCTGGCTCTAGTTTGTATATGGTAGGTGTATATTGTTGAGTCGTAAATTAACTTCTTCGTTACTTACACATTACGCCAGCTACAACACAAACACAAAATGTTCAAGTAGACCTGTCGTTGGAATATATGTTTCCAAACACTAGCACGTCGACTAATTCATCTTTAGGACTTATAAATTTTGAACCTATCCTCCAAATTATTCTTTCAATAATTACACACAATTAAATGAAAGGATGAAGGAAAAAATATCACCATATTGTATCGTCTGACACCTTATCATAGTACGTATTATCATAGTATACGTAGAATATTATTATCGAATAATCTAAGCATATGCTTGAAGCATAGTAAAAAGCAAGTATTCTAACTATCATCTCGATAAATTTACGTACCATAAATGAAACGCATACTCTTTTTAACACTAAAATCAAAAGTAAGATTATGTTAAACAATATAAACATCGGAATGAACAAGAATTTAAGATATTTAAGCACCTGTAAAGATATAAGCCATTAAAAAATATCCTTACGTTTATGGTTAAATAAGAACAAAGAGAAATGGTACATGATTGTCATGAGTATGCAGAACATAATACACGAATATAAAACCATCTGGTTTATTGTGCGATAACAAACAGATGTTAAATAGTTTACTTCATCTGTGGCCATCATAATCATAAAAACCGTGACGAATTACTTGTATGAGTACATGCTTACATCCACTTACACAGGATTTTTAAGTGAAATATACAAAGAATAGTATTTCATCAAAGGATGACTAAACATTGTGAGCTTTGATTAAGTTGTCAGAAATCTGCTGAATTCAGGTAAACCTACCTGATAAATAAATTCAGTGAATTCTTCTGCGAGTTGTTATGATGTTTGCAATTCCCCGTTGCTATACAGCGTCAAATTGCTCGATCTCTGTTGGCAGATGGGCTCCTATGTGGATGCCTCAATACTGCCGAATATTCAGGACGTTGTATTGATCTTGGTGACTAGCAAAGGAATCCAGGATGCGCGTTTTGTTCTATTTAGGACTCGTCAGCTGAATGTACCTGCAGTCCAGTGAGTGGTGTCTCCAAAAAGGCTCGAATTCAGTGCCCATCGCTTCAAACTCCAGAGCGTTATCCACTAAGCCACCGCGGTACTATAGCCACATTAGTCGAGCGATTCGGCTCTGTATAGCAATGGTGAATTATAAGTGTCATAACAACAACTGATGCCCGTTGCATAAGAGATGGCTACCGCGCCCCGGTGGCTTATTGGATAACGCTCTGGCGTTTGAAGCGATGGGTACTAGGTTCAAGCCTCAGTGGAAACATTACTCACTGGGATGCAGGTACATCCAGCTGACCAGTCCTAAACAGGACGAAACGCACATCCTGAATTCCTCACCAAGATCAATATAAAATCCTGTTAGTCACTATAAGAATAATATGATGATTGAACAAACGTGCCCTGCATATAAAGAATTTTGGCTGGAATAACCTAAATACAGAATCTAGAATATCTGTAGTTAAAATAATGATCACAAACTGGAACCTTCAGATCGAATAGTACTGAGGAGTTAACACATTTTCTTATATCGTAAATCAAAAAACAACGAATTCATAGACTGGAAAAAACAACTAAAGACTAATATCACTACTGAGTAAAAATGAAATCAGATTGACAACTAATTAATTATCCAGTAGCTTAAACTTAGTTTGTAACAGCTATTATTGGTTAGTCAAAGTAGAGCAGTTTCAGGGTTCGATAAGAAGTTGTAGCCGACTAAATGCCTTTGAAGAGTACATCGAAATAGCATCAGCAACCAGGATTGATTTTAGTGGTTTAGAATCTCATGTAATATAAATAACAACAACGTAACTCAACCAGATATACGTTCACGTACTATGGTATGAGTTATAGTTGTTGTGCGAATGTTTACAAAAAGTACCCAGTTGCTCAAGACGAAGTAAGTGGGGCAGGGGTCGAATCTGGGACGCACTGCTTGAAAGTTGAATCGGTAAGACATATCTCCGGAACAGAACACACTCAAAAGACATAATCAGAGAACTTTTCATTTGATCTTTGAAGGAGAGAAGTGCGGTTACTGTTAAAATGTTAAAATAATACTTAACAATTGTCCAGCACCCCTTGACAAAAGAAAATCGTTTGACTGATAATCACTTTCGAGGTCACCAGTATAAGTTAGTGAATCAGTCAGTAAAAGTAGAAACTTAGTTCAAGAATACGTGAATAGTGGATACGAGGTTAGAAATACTCAGTATCCGACACAATAAAAGTTATAGTAATAATAATAACAGTGATAACAATACAATAGCAGTACTTACCAAGGGACCCACATTGCTTCTTCCGGTCCAAGGACTTTAGCCCCCTCCCAAAAACAATCCAATGGTGTGATAATGATGCATGGAATAATCATATCCAGATAAGCCTAGTGAAAAATGAATAATACACCCATATGTATCAACCAATTTTAAAAATATCAAGATTGACAACTTTCACTACTTTGGAAACGTACTATACAATAGACTTGTGACAAGTGAGAAACACCTAGGAGTCGAACTTGTGGGAAATGTATTATACATTAACGTGACGGTAAACAGTCTTACATTGCAATTAAGAAATCTGTCTACTGTCAATAAGTTTCGACGGCCTATCCGAGATAAGCAAAATAATACTGCATAATTTAATAAAGTATGCATTGCATCATAATTATTATATGATAGCTAATGATCTTATCCCATTAAATTAAATTAAATTATCAACCCTTGCAGTAGATTTAAGTTCTTAGTACTTGCCCAGTTTAAAACAAAAGTGTACAAATATACGACAGAAGAGTAAGAGTGATTACATAAACCAAAGAAACATTTAGACACCAAAACAGTAAAAGTAGAAAAGACAATAAATTTAAGCAATATGATATTATCGTTTCTATTCAATTTATGAAACTAATTTTTTGTTTGTTTTTTGTGGGATGCAGATTGATTGATATGCTAAAATAATGAAAGCTCAACTTACGAGAAGACTAACTAAATCAGAAACAAATAAGATTAAAAAACAATACATACCTGCAAATGATGCATTTCAACACCAAACGGTAGGCTAGCACGTTGACATAAATCTTTGAAAGACCACTTCGATGATCCTACCGTTATTGTAAGTCGCCTCACTTTAATAAGGAACTCCATATGATCTAATAACGCTTGAGGAGTTAGAATATCAGTGTAATCATCATCGTTTATGCTGTTATCTCTATTTTCAGTAGTACTCAAAGGAGGGATGGTATTCGATTTAATTTTCTCCGTTTGACTGATAGTAGGTGAAATAGTAGTTTGCAGTATAGTTTCCATACTGCCCATAAATTCACGGCTACTCAAAGATGAATCCACTTCACCTTTTGATTTTGATAATGTTGATGCAAACGAAAGCATATCAGCTTCTTTTTCTTCCATCTCTTCCCTTTGTGAATGAACTACCATTCTGGATAATTTGGAATCCCGTGAAAAATAATACGAATCTCCATATAACGACTCTGCATGAACATTTTGCAGCGCTTTGGTCAGATACTTCCACTCAGAAGTAAGACGATCACTTTCTATTATACAGAATATGGAAGGGCAATTGAAATGATAGTAAATTTTATCAGACTCAGCAAATCAAACGTAAAATTGTTAACATGAATGGATTATATATATATATATATATATATATATATATATATATATATATATATATATTGCAGAGGGCTAAAGAGTTACTCTAAAACGTCCATATATTCTACTTAGAACTAGTGAATCATAAGTTGTACTACTGCGTCATCTAGTTAGACCAATAATACCTGGTCCAAAGATTCGAATCCTGCTCAACCCACCAAGGTCTGAACAGTTAGGTATTATCTATAGCTTGCAAAAATAGGCCTTGTCCATTGCCTAGTACACAAACATGAACGTAGTTTTTGAGCTACACTTTTCAACAAGCACTGAAAAGGTGCTAAATATCTCTACTATACTCGAGGAAAGACCTACTATGAAAAAATGTTAAAATAAGGTAAATTAGTCATTAGTAATTTCTGGGGGCATAAAATCAAAGCAAATGTTTTATTAACACCGTCATTGCATCAACAGTGGTATGTAAAAGAAACTTTCAAGTTATTAAGAGCACATGCTAAAAGTCTTTTTCGAATTCTAAGGATACAGAAGTCTATCGATGCAAAATAACATTCCAGTGAATATTTCATGTCTTCTCAAAGAATTTGTTCTCCGATGGAGAACAGCGCGCAAAATTTCGGTCAGCATTTTACGACAAACATACAAACGGCGCCATTCACATATCAAGGTACTGCGCTGAATGTCAACCGCAAGCAATAACAAAGTCATATATTATTACTATATATTAAACGTTTATGGTTTAATGTTTTAAACCATAAAATTTTGGAAGGTAAACATTTTAAAAATCATTAAATTTGCGGACCACATTTGGCAAGCTAGCGTAATAAATCGGATAATAAGCGTATGCGTGTGTATATACACACATACATTCCATTGGCGCCAGCGCTGTTCTCCATGTTATGTGTTCTTATATGTGTGTCAAAAAAATTAATATGAATAGAAAGACTAAGAAATGTGTCCTGTGATACACTATGCAGAATGGCGCCATAGTTCTGAACCTAGTGCACAATGTGGTAGGTCTTCAAATTTGTACCACACAGACACATATATCCATCCTTTTCTATAATTCATAATAGCGGTTGTAGCAGAAGTAGTAATAGTTATTATAATAAAATAACATATGGAAGTGAACAAGCTAATGCACACAAAAATCTATACAGGTATACATGAGAATGAGGAGAGATGATTCAAAATACCTAGATGAGGCGTGGCATCACATGGTATGCAGAAATAGCAATAATCACTATCATATGTATTCAAATTAAAGCTCCGGTCACCAAACAAATCAAGGGATAGTACTCAAGAAAACAAACTAATTAATTGATTCATGTTGTGTGCTGTCACTTTGCGAGAAAAAACCAATAAACTTTAATCCCTAAAATGTATGAAACGAGTATTTTGCTTTTTTGCCAAATAAGGTAAATAAAATGAATTTTAAACGTAACATGTCAGCGAAGAGAAGTTTCATTTCACTTACATTCACACACGAGAATTCAATAACTCTCTGATTAAGAGTCTGATTGAAATGGCCATCATCGCCAACATTCTGGGCAGCAAGAATACTCAATTAGGCGACTCGATATGGTGAGATATTTTTTTAATGTCATGATTGGAAGCTATAGTTAAGAAACTTTAGATATAAAGGGGTATGGCACTGTATCACTTAGATTTTTTGACAAATTTCAGACACTCGCTAGCAGACTGAAACGGGTAGAAATAAACAAAATAGGAGTCTACGTGATTACGTATAGATCCAATTTGTCATTTTATCCATATGCACCGGAGGAGAGACTAACAAGAGGAACGTTAAAGATATAATCAACAGTCACAGATAACATAACTTCCAAAAAGTTGCCTAGATACTTTTGACCTATTAACTTCAAGTTTATTTAATACAAGATACAGTTAAAAAAGACGCATTTCCAAATTTTATCCTTAAAAATATTCATCACCTGAAGAATAAAAGCTACACCAAAAATTGAAATTCTTCGGAAGAGAAACACACTAATGCAAAGCCTGGAAGATAAACGCATCCACAGCAGCATTCCAAAACAGAAAAGGACAGAAAGGAATGACCCTAAAACAAGTGGCCTACTGTGAGAAGTAGATAAATAAGCAAAAACTAGTAAAAACATTTGCAATAGAGTCATGCTGCTTTGATCAAGTTCGAGGGGTCTGTAAGTATTGTTTTCTATCATCTCAAAGAACGCAACCAAGCAACCTGGATTCCTCATAAGATTTAAAAGAAAGTTTAGGGACCTAAACAAAACTCTCACTACATCAACTAGACAGACAACTCACAAAAATCAGTAATTGTACAAAAAACGAACTTTAAAGCTTAATTGAATGTAGGACCATGTACAACCTGAGAACCTAGACTCCAGAACATTATTGGTTAGTGCTACATCTTGGTTCAACCACTCTCAGTTTCCTTATAACTTAATACTAGTTGAGATAACAACGCACGTCGAACCTGAAGGTGGCTCAGCACGAGCAACACACCTGAAATATTGCCTGAAACACAGAAGGTTCACAACCTCATCCACTAACTTGTCTTCCCTGCCTTGCCCTGCCCTGCCCTGCCTTCCATAATATCATATGGGTAACATCGACATCGCTCACATGGTGAATTCAACAAACAGAAATCATATCACAAACACAAATGTGCTCCGAAACTCATAAACTCTTCATATCCTCTACTTCCTCAGGCCATATCTCATAGGCCTAGAGTAAAACAGAGTGGAATAATTTACAGTATACTCGTCCATAAGTAGTCGGATATATGGTCAGTCGGTGCCAGGGATGATTTAAGTCGGCAAATATCAAATCGATCTTTTGTATCCGAACTGAGATCCTGTCAACAGTCAACCCATTTGGGCCGATACAACTCATCGAGTAAGTGAAGTGGTCAGTGTATTCCACCATTTCAATGGAAATAAGTAAACTAGGAGTCGGCACAGACCAGCCTTGAAGCTTCATCTTTCATTTGATAGTTGACAAATGCATGCTAAGCAAACCCAGCTTTTCACTCAAAGTTTTCAGACGACTGAATTTTTCAATGTTTTTGCCTAACACAACCATGTCGTCTGAGTATTGTTAAGCATGCAGATGCTCCTTGGAGAGTAAGTTAAGGCTTGAGAATTTGGAGATACCTAGGGTTGTGTTCATCAACCTCATGTGTAACAAAGTTAGGCAGTAACTGGTGTGTTACTCTGCTGTTTGTCATCTCCTATATGCACTTTGGCTTCTTGGATAGGCATGCCGTGGTTATTGTATGTTTGCCTTCACCCTTATAGCTGTTTTACACAGTTGTGTGAATTCGAGTAAACAGCTTTGATTAGTATTACATACTTGCTCGTTGCTTTCTCGCAGTAAGCTACTGTTACGAGAAACCTGAACCGACTTGATGGAATGCCACCTTCACGTTAGGAAATATGGCAAGTGGTGAGTGGCAGTAAGTATTCTTGTGCTCCATAATCCATCACAGCTTAGTTACTGATAATTCCTTTTCATCGACACCAACCCTGTGAACACATATACAAAATAATGTATGATCTCTAGCAAACTGTCATGACGATGTCATCAAACTTTTTAAATGCAAATTAGCTGACTTTTGATAGCTGTCCATAAACCAGACGTATACGCACAGACAAAGTGAAACCTAACTCACAAAAATGTTTAAAATATTCATGTATGTATTATTATACGTGGTTTTCGTCTATAATTCAACATAAACCACAAGTAATAGAGAGCAAGCACTTAAACCCTTAATTTTTCAAACCACCAAGCATTTATCTGATATGGACTTTCACAAAGAGTTTGTTCAGAGTGCTGAGTTGTGACTATTAGAGAGCACCAGGCAAAACTTAGTTATGTTGGATGACAGCTACATTTTGATCACCAAAAAACGAAAAATGCCAACATATCTACAAGTATAAAAGGCTACATTTAAACTGGTCACACACTAATAGAATGTTTGCTTGTATTTAAGAGTTCCCATATCTAGGTAAAGATATCAGAATAAAGCAAAAACTACCTACTTATAACTCGTAAAACACTAACGATGTTATCCTAATAACCGATACAACTGAAGTCATTATTACACTTGTTTAGAGCTCTATTTAAAGTACAAACAGTAAATTACTTCGCGACGGGCTCCAGACAAATGACACTTACGGGGTACAGATGATCAATGCCAATCCCTTTGAAACAGCTCTTCTCACTTGATTTACTTAGCATTTTATTCACTTTCTCTGGTTTTTTACTACGATTACGTTTATAACGGTCAACTTTCTCGTTTTTATTTGCTTTTAATACTTTGATTGTTTGTAATTTGAACCACAGTAACAATTTGTCTTATGTCTTGTCTTAGTCTGTGCTCAGCTATCTGTCTGCCTATCTTTCAAGATAACCATACCAACCCAACCTACTCAAATAAGTGTAAGCGGCAATTAAAAATCATCATAACAAAGGTTCACACAAATAAATGAGTGGTAGGTTCGCAAGTAGACGCGGAATGGCTATCGTTATATGCTTTAGCATAGTGGTGATATGCTTTATTTAAAGAAACTATGACAAAAACCTCTTTCAACTGAAAATCAGAGAAACAAAATGACTAAGCAGTTCAGCACATAACACTTGGTCACATGAATTGTACACCATATTCATTTTTTGCTTTTCCTACAGAATACTGATCAAGGTAACAGATGACTAAGTCTACCATTAGAACAGAACAAGTATATTATAAGTAGGCCACACATAATTTTAGCTAGTTCTTCATTGACCTTGAGATGCGATTTGCAAACACGTACATATGCATACTGACACATATATGGTGTAAAGCCAATACCTCACACCCACTGATTCTGTGTCCATGTGAAGGGTAGACACCTATTATGAATAACTGTTTATCGCTTAACAGATAGTG